GCGTACGGTGTGTTAGGTTTTATTGCTAGAGGGATTGAGTTTCGGAGCCATGAGGTCATGTTGCAGCTGTACAAAACTCTGGTGCGGCCACACTTGGAGTATTGCGTACATTTCTGGACGCCGCATTATAGGTAGGATGTGGAAGCATTGGAAAGGGTGCAGAGGAGATTTACCAGGATGTTGCCTGGTATGGAGGGAAGGTCTTATGAGGAAAGGCTGAGGGACTTGAGGCTGTTTTCGTTAGAGAGAAGAAGGTTAAGAGGTGACTTAATAGAGACATACAAGATGATCAGAGGATTAGATAGGGTGGACAGCGAGAGCCTTTTTCCTCGGATGGTGATGGCTAGCACGAGGGGACATAGCTTTAAATTGAGGGGTGATAGATATAGGACAGATGTCAAAGGTAGGTTCTTTACTCAGAGTAGTAAGGGCGGGGAATGCCCTGCCTGCAACAGTAGTAGACTCGCCAACTTTAAGGGCATTTAAATGGTCGTTGGATAAACATATGAATGATAATGGAATAGTGTAGGTTAGATGGGCTTCAGATTGGTTTCACAGGTCGGCGCAACATCGAGGACCGAAGGGCCTGTGCTGCGCTGTAATGTTCTATGTTCTATAAAATCATGAGGGGCATAGAGTCTATTGGTCTCTCTGAAGTCCCAAAATGTGGGAATCTGCAAGCATAGTCCTTTAGTAAAACATTTGTAGCAAAGTTTAATATACACCAATTTTCTAGCAAACAGTACATTCAGCTCAGAATAAATTTTTCCTGCACAATTTTTATAACTAGTTGAACTGTAGAAAAGAGGAAATTATGCAAAAGCAACGCTCACCTTATCAGGTAGTTTTTGTGAATAGAGGAAAAAGGGATTTAATATTTCAAGTCAATGACAATTAATCAGAACTTGAAGATTCACAGTGTCGTAGAGATATACAGCACGGAAACAGACCCTTCAGTCCAACTCGTCCATGCCAAACAGATATCCTAAATAAATTTAGTCTTAATAGCCAGCATTTGGCCCATATCGCCCTAAACCCTTCCTATTCATATACCCATCCAGATGCCTTTTAAATGTTGTAATTGTACCAGCCGCCACCACTTCCTCTGGCAGCTCATTCCATACCCGCTACCCTCTGAGTAAAAAAAAAAAAAAAATTGCCCCTTTGATCCCTTTTAAATCTTTCCCCAGTCACCTTAAACCTATGCCCTCTAGTTTTGGACTCCCAAACCCCGGAGAAAAGATCTTATCTAATCACCCTGTCTATGCCCCTCATGATTTTATAAACCTCTGAGGTCACCCCTCAGCCTCCGACGCTCCAGGGAAAATAGCCCCAGTCTATTCAGCCTCTCCCTATAGCTCGAACTCTATAGGAGGGAGACCAGAATTGTACACAGTATTCCAGTAGTGGCCTAACCAATGTCCTGTACAGCCACAACATAACCTCCCAACTCCTACACTCAATGCACTGTCCAATAAAGGCAAGCATGCCAAAGGTTGTCTTCACTATCCTATCTACCTGCAACTCCACTTTCAAAGAACTATGAACCTGCACTCCAAGGTCTCCTTGTTCAGCAGCACTCCCCAGCGCCTTACCATTAAGTGTATAAGTCCTGCCTGATTTGCTTTTCCAAAATGCAACACCTCACATTTATCTAAATTAAACTCCAGCTGCCACTCCTCGGCCCATCTGATCGAGATCCCATTGTATGCTGAGGCAACCTCCTTCACTGTCCGCTACACCTCAAATGTTAGTGTCATCTGCAAACTTACTAACCATACCTCTTATGTTCACATCCAGATCATTTATATAAATGATAAAAAGCCAGTGGACCCAGCACCAATCCACCGATTCCTGATCTGTATTTTTATCACTGCTCAGCTATAGCCTCAGGCCTGGTGAATTTGATTCAGTTGCACTTGGGTATGCATGAAGTATGACACCAAACTGCGTAATGGGATAATAGCTCAAATTGGAAAACTTTAAGGAGCATATCAAAAGATGAAATAACAGAAGTATTTCAGAACCTAGGGCCTAAGCAACCAAAGGCATGACCACCAAGGATGATTTGCTGCATGTTAAGGTATGGGGACCACAACTTTGACTGATCTTAAGTTTATTGAAGGTAGAATTTGGGAGACCAGCTGGAACAATTTAAAATAATCAAGTCCAGAGGTAATACCTTGCCCAGGAGAGGGATAGAGTTGGTAGCTAAGCAATGTCATTTGAAAAGTTTACTAAATGGATTTCTTAATACAATTTTATAGTGGGCACGGCAACTGATAGAGCATTTAAAATTGCTGTAATATTAAAACTTGGACTCAAACAGCAGTGTCTGTGTCTTGTGCAGATAGGTAACGTTAACCCCCAAATATCTTGAGTTATATCTCTTTAAAATCTACAATTAGTGGCAGTGCTATTGAAATATGAACTTGATGCATTTAATTTCTAATCTCTATTTCTAATTTCCAAGAAATGTCTGTAATAAGAGGAAAAGGTTTAATTTTTAAAAATCCAAAGTGCTGGAAAGAGAAATGTCTTCTATGTTTGCTTTTGCTTCAGGCTCCTCAATGCTGTTTCACACTTTGAACCACACTTGGGAGCACGTGCAGGTGCACGGGTCTATCTTTAATGCATTTTCAATGTGCTGCTTGCAGTCTTTTGCTTTATCAAAAAGCAGGAATTTTCTGTCAAATGTCAGGTGCAGTGCTACATCTGATCATGTAGCTTGGAAGTGTAGAACTGAACAACAGAGAACCAAGATTCTATGAAGAGCAAATATTGCCTATGATATTAGGATTGGTCCCAAGCAGAAGGGACTTGGAAGTAAGAAAAAAGAGGTTGAAAGTTTTGGGAATAATATGCAAGTGATTCTAGCAATGATTCAGCAGCGATGGAATAGAATATATTTGAAAAATAATGATTGTTAAAATAAGTTTGCAAAATGTAAATTTACTGGTAGAAAAGGTTAACAGCAAATCTATTATAACTTTTTTAAAAAAAAAATACATGAAGTTGTGAAACAGTATCTTCATGATTGCTGCCTGGTCACGTCCATGGGAGGCTTCGAGGGAGCATAGATGAAGCAAAATGTTTTGACACATTCCTAATGTGACTACTGACTTCAAGTTGGGGGGTGGGGGGAAGGCACAGAAGGAATTAAAACACAACAAAGATGATCAAAAAGAGAAACCATGTAGGGGTAATCAAAATGACAAATACAAGATTTCAGTTTCTTTGGAATTTGGTTTGATCACATTTAAACAGAAGGGACAGGACAGAAATGCAGGAGGTGGGGAAAAAATGAAGCTATGAGGTCTTATTCAGTATGTGGGTGTTCTGCAAATTACTGTCATAGAGTAGTAGAGGGTCATCGAAGCTTAGATGACATGTTTGCAGTGAAATTTTATTGTGATTTACTTTTAAAAAGGCATGTGTACATTGTGATATTCTATGTTAGGCCTGAGCTTATGCTAACTATCAACTTTCTGAATCAATTGAACAAAATAAATTGGAAGAGCAGATAGGTATTTGCTTAAGTTAAAATGCAGTAATACTTTACAATGATTGTAGAATTGCATTAACATTAGTGAAAATGAGCAACTTAATGATCTTAATTCTACTTTTTAACTCAGTTATTCAAACAGCAAAATTAGTGATGGATATATATTTTGTCATTTTCAATCACAATTGTTAGTTTCATCTTGCAATAATTTACAGAAATTCAATGAGTCACAGTAAAAAAACTATCCCCTAATATATTTATTACTCATATAAACATTATTTAAGGGCATTGGCCAATGTGCTTTTGATTATATTAGAATGTTAATGCTTTTAACATCTAGACTCCGTTTGCCAACCAGATCATGAGTATCATGCTGAAAATTAGATTTTTCCCCCCACTTTTATTATCAAATTTTATAATTTCATTATTTTTTAAGGTCTCCAAGTGCTTCAAATTTTTCAACATTGCCAAAGGTTTCCCCTTCATCTCTATCCAATAATTATAGCAGCTTCAACAACAGAAAGTAAGTAGTGCCTCTTCAGAACTGTTTGTAAATGTGTTTGCATGCACTTCGAAAAATATATTTTGGTTTGTGAATGTAGTGGCACTGACATTTGGACTTGGTTTTGATCACTAACTTGACAGTAGGGTTGTTGATGCTCATGTCGTGTATTTTGATATTGAGTGTTTATAACCAGTGCAATTAATGTATTGTTGGAATGTGGTAGGACAAATTTTGCTGCAGCTTGTGATAAGTGGGTAATCCTGCTTTGGAGAATGTCAGTGTAGGCCTAAGGATGTATAGTGTAAAAAAAAAAGAAATGATCTGTCTAGGCTTGGAAAGTTTTCCTTATTGCAATTGCTTCCTGGTTGGAGATTGAGGGATTTTGATTCTGTCATACTGATGCTGAAAAAAGCTGAGCAGCAGTTATGTGAACTTCTGGGTTCTGTGTGCAAATCAAGAATATTTCCTTTGAAATTCTATTTAAGCTGTCATTAGTCTTGATCTGCTTTGGGATATGTAAAGGGAGTCATGGTGATCTGTTTTTCCTCTAGAGTATGCTATCAGGTAATACAAAAGGCTTCCATTTGTTTATTTAGACAGTTGTATTTTGGGATTTCAGATATTCCTAGAACTAAAATGCTTCTAAATGCAAATCCTAACATTGATTTATTTGTATGTCAAGATTGTTGAGTAGGGGAAAGAGAAGTGTAAACATTTTGGAGGAAAACAAAATAAGAAAATGGGGAAGTGGGACTAGTGTCGATAGTATATTCTTGGCAGTACAGACTCAATAGGTCAAAGGACGATTTCTGTACTCTGATTTTACGATTCTGTGAATCTAAAAGGATAAATTACTTAGTAATGAGTCTGCCTTAAATTGGATAGATTTGTTCTTCACTTGCAAATGTTACCCTACCTATATGACCTGGTTAAATGCTGATGGATTTATGATATCAGTGGCTGCTGTTCTATTCAATGAAATACTTTGGTTTTAAAGAAGTAAGTCCCTTGATTGAAACAAACACAAAGTTGGAGAAATTCAGTAGGTCTGGCAGCATCTATGGAGAGAGAAATAGAATTAACATTTTCAAGTCTTTAGAACTGATCAGGTTTGAAAAGGGGAGAAGAAGGAGCAAAGGGACAGATGATGCAGAGGCCCAGTGTAAAACGTAAAGGGGTCGCCAATGGCAGTGAAAGAGAAATAGAGGTGTAAAATGGGTTTAAATTAAGGCGTGAAAATCAATCCACTTGTCTAAGAGCCAGGTAAAAGCACAAACAAGACCAGGTGGGAGGAGTGGTAGATGAGGAATGTAAGAAAATGGAGGATAAATATCATGAAGTCATGCTCTGAAGTTGTGGAATTCAGTATTGACTCCTGGCAGCTGTAAACTGCTCATGCGGAAAATGAGGTGATGTTCCTTGCATGTTGCTTTGTTGGAATGTTGCAGCAGGCCCAAGACAGAAAATATTAGCATGAGAGCAATGGGTTCTTTTGAAATAGTCAGCAACTGGAATCTTGGGGTCATTCCAATGGACAGAGCAGAGATGTTCTGCGAAGTAGTCACTCAGTCTGTGTTTGGTCTTGCCAATGTAAAGGCAATCATGCTGTGAGCAGCAAATCGAATAGACTGGATTCAAAGAAGTACAAATAAAAAGCTCTTTCAACTGGATGTTGTGTTTGGAGCCTTGGGCAGTGAGGAGGTAGGAGGTGAATGGGCAAATGTTACCCCTTTTGCAATTGCATAAGATGGTACAATGGTGGGGTGAGGAAGTGTTGGGAGTGTAGGAGAAATGGAACGAATGATCCCTAGGGCTGAGGAGGGGAGGAGAAGACGATTTATAAATGCAGACACTAGTGGATGGAAAGTGAGGACAGGGTGATCCCTGTAGTTCTGGGAAGGAGTGATGGTTGGGGGCTAAAGTGCACATAATGGGTCAGATACAGTAAAGGGCCCTGTCAGCAGCACTGGGAGAATCCTGAGTTGGCTATGTTGGAAACACCCCAATGGAAGGTAGCATAATCAGAACAGATCCGATGGAGAAAATGGGATTTTGAAATCGAATCCTTGCAGGAAGTAGAGTATGAGGAAGTCTTGTCAAGGTAACTATGGGAATCAGTGGATAGCCTATCTCCAGAAAGGGAAACAGGGAAGTCAGGAAAGGGAGGGAAAGAGTCAGAGATGGACCAAGTGGAGAGCAAGAAGCAGCACCGATAACCTTGTCGATGTAACGGAGTGAGAACTATGGATTGGGACTCCCCCAAGTAGGTATAGAACAAGGAATGCTCCACACACAGTTCTTTGCTTTGGCAATGTAGTAATGGAAAGTTATTAATAAATGGAGTGAAACCCTCAAGGATAAATGAGGCAATCCTGCCTTCAAGAAATACTTGTCTTTTTTAATAGCCTCTTAAATGGCTGTCAGAAAATCCAGATATTTTAGTTCAGTAGTGTGGTGCAGGCTGAAGGAAATTAATGAACGTGGAGTGAAGTCGTCGTCAAAAATTAATGAGGTTAGATAAACGCAGCAAAATGTCGATGCAAGGGAAGGGACTGCTAGAGAGCAGAGAGACTTTGAGTTGATATTAAAAAAATCTGGCACATTAGCAACAGCACAGGAGACTGATTCAAAAGCAAGTTAGTAAATCATGATCATTTATTTGATGGAAAGTCATACATTGATAATTTAAACATTGCCTAACACCAGTGAGAAATGTCATCCAAGTATTCAAGAGCAGACCTGCAGAGAGATCAAACGGAGGCAGCATAATCATCCATAGAAAACCATGTAACAAGCATCTTCCTAAGCCTGAATTTGGTTGTTGCTTCAGAGTGATTGTGGCTTGTTAATTAATCCTTGCTTCCATAGGTTTAGAAGGTACCCATATAAGAGCAATAACATAATTAAATTAATCAGATATCACATAAAAGTGATGTACCATCCCAATTGCAATTGTAGAATGCTACTGGATTTCAGATAGTCAAAAAATAACATTGTAAATTGGAGTTTTGGCGGCCTACACTTAATAGAATATTGTTTTCCATTGTCAGTTTTATGTTCCACTTTTGAGAAAACTGCAGCTGATTTTCCAAATAAATATTCAAATAGCAAAGTTATCTTGTATTTGAGATTCATTCAGTGGAAGTGTTTTGGATTCTTCATTAGCTTGGAAGGAGTATGGCTCCAGCTCCATTACAAGAATATCCTGTTAGCAAAAAGAATATTACAACCATTGAGTCTTAGATATATGTGCAGCCAAAACAGCCAAGCATGCTATCGTAATCTGTTCCCAGTTGGCTAAATTCTCAT